TTTCGATTACGAACCTCTTATGAGTTTAGGGGTTTAGGGGTTTAGGGGTTTAGGGGTTAGGGTTTAGGGTTTATGGTTTTGGGGGTGACCTTTCGATTACGAATCCCTTATGAGTTTAAGTGTCTAGGGTTCAGGGTTTAGGGGTTAAGGGCTTGTTCTTTTGAGCCTTGTGGCCTTTTCGTCTGAGCGAGCCTGCTTCGGTTGAGGGCTTTGGGCTTAGTTTAGGGTTTAAGTGTTTAGGGTTCTGGGTTTTGGGGTGACCTTGATTACGAACTTTCCGACCCCTTCTATGCTAAACCCCAAACCCTAAACCCCGAAGCCTTGATCTCGGAATCCAGAAGGGCCCAAGGTTCCATTTAAGGGCGGCGGTAGGGGGGTGGGGGCACCGACAAAAGCAAGCAGAATCCCAGAAGTCCGCCCTTTGTTTGAATAAGCTAAGAGTAGCAACCCTAAACCCTAAACCCTAAACCCTAAACCCTAAACCCTAAACCCTAAACCCTAAACCCTAAACTAAGGTAAGAGTAGCCGTGGCCCTCCAGGGTCGACGTTTCCTATGGGACAACCCCAAATTTAGTCACAACCGCCAGCTTCTCAAAAGGAACCCTGACGACAAACAAGAAAGCCTACTTAAAGGCATGGGACTTAGTAAGTAGGGCTATAATCAGGGTAACTATACTTATAACCCCAATTTCAGGGACTTATAACCTTACTTACTAAGTCCCATGATCCTCCAAGTAAAACACACCCCAAATACCTTTTAAATGTGAAGCCCTGAGTCCTGAACCTTTGAACCTTAATCCTTTTCACCCTAAACCTTCACAGCCCAAACTCTAAACCCAAAATCCGAACACCCTTAAACCCCTAAACCCTGAACCGCCAACTCCTAAAATCCTTAAAACCTTTGAAAAACCCTGCCTCTCGTCGATCTCCACGCACAGAGTCTTGTCTGCTGCCCGCGCCTCTGCGTAGTCGGCCTTTTCCGGTCTTAGCGGTTTACGGTTGAGGGTTTCGGGCTTTAGGATGGTAGGATAGGCTTGAAACGCCAACACCATCATCCAATACCTGAAGAAGAACAGGGTTTAGGGTTTAGGGTTTGGGGTTTAGGGCTTAGGGTTTAGATGTTGGTCTGCAGAGACGGAGCTCGCAACTGCTGCAGTGCACCCAAAAGCTGGAAAGCTTAGCAAACACGGCATGGAAACGAGATGCGTGTACTGGCTTGATCTCTGAAAGTTAAGATGCTGCTGATGCTGACAACAGGCACACTGACAGCTTTATGAAAATCACTAAGCCCAACACAACTTCTCAACCCTAAGCTCAACCCAAAGCCCTAAAACCCGAAAACGCCTAAAACCCTAAATCCCTAAAACGCCTAGAAAGCCCTAACCCGAAAGCCCCAAAGCCCTAAACTCCAATCTCCGCTTCCCCAGCTCGCAGCTTCGTCAAAGGTGCCGGTGTCCCGCGCATCTTCCTCCTCAGAGCATCCAGCTCGTTTTGCACCTGGTGGAAACCTAAGGTAGGGGCCTTACCTGGGGATCCAAAAACCCACCGTTTTAAGGGTTCTAACCTCTAATTAAGACTATTTTGAAGGGTTTGGGGTCACAGGTAATAATTAGAAAAGGGTTTTGGGGCCTACGATTCTAGTAGGGAACCCTCAAAAATCCAAGGGGGGATCTAATGGAGGGGCCTCAAAAATTAGAACAGGGTTTCGGGGGTTCCCTATTACTGTTCCAGTATAATGTACACCCCAACCCTATTCTAAATTATTAAGGCCCCTCTATGATCCCAAACACCCCAATAAGGTAGGGGCCTTAATAAATAGAAAAGGGTTTTGGGGCCTATAATTCTATAGGGAACCCCCAAAACAGTCCAAGGGGATCTAATGTAGGGGCCTCAGTAAGAATAGGGTCTTGCCCAGAGGCTCCACATATAGTGCCATTATGGAATTAGGTCTCAAAAGACCATCCTGATTAAGGTTCTAGGGACCTAATTCCATAATGGTACTATATATGTAGCCTCTGGGTTGGGGCCCATAATTTATAATCGGGAACCCCCCAAATAGTCCAAGGGGGGATCTAATGTAGGGCCTTAATAATTAGAATAGGGTTTCGGTGGTTCCGAAAAAAATCTAGTAACTAGTATAATGTACCCCCCCCACTATTCTAATAATTAAGGCCCCTTTTTGATCCTAAGCACCCCAATAATGCAGGGGCCTTATCAATTAGAATAGGGTTTCGGGGCCCCTCATACCATAATTATGATAGGGAACCCCAAAATAGTATAGGTATTTATTCAGGCCCCTATACTAGGGGTTTGTTCTAGTATATTATACATTATCGTATAACATCGTATATTCTAGTATATGCCAAGACAAGGCAATCATATTATAAGATAGCGTATTCTAGTATATTCTGATATATTCTAGTCTATTATAGTATAGTATGCCTAAACCCTAAACCCTAAACCCTAAACCCTAAACCCTAAACCCTAAACCCTAAACCCTAAACCCTAAACCCTAAACCTGTATATTCTGAAGTAAGGGTTTCGGGCTGTACGGCGTTTTCGGCTTTGGGGTTTATCAGATTTCAGGGCTTAGTCTTTAAGCTCTAGTATTAGGGTTTAGGGTTTAGGGTTTAGGGTTTAGGGTTTAGGGTTTAGGGTTTAGGGTTTAGGGTTTAGGGTAACACCCAACATCAATATCTACGTCCCTTAACCCTCGACCCACAAAGCCGTGTCAAACTCTCCGAGCCTCATCATGAGAAAGACACCAAACGAAATCTCACAACAAAGCACACCCCCGGAAAAGCGGGTTTAGGGTTTAGGGCCTAGGGTTCTGTGGATCATTAGGTTAATAAAGGAATACACGGCTAAATAGAAGACCTCGCCTCAGCCAGACGACTGAGGACCTCCTCAGCCTGTTCCTGGTGGGAATCAGGGCGCATGTTTTCTGTTCCAAGAAAGGGTTTAGGGTTTAGGTTTGTTTTTTTTTAGTGCAGTGACCTTTTCTGTGCGATCGGGCCTGCCCTCGTAGAGGCTTACACTGTGCAGGGGCTATGGAGCTGTAGCACCAGAGCTGACAGCAGACTGCGTGTTTAGGGTTTAGGGTTTAGGGGCTCTCACAGGGTTTACAAAGGCTTGGGGTTTGTTTTGATGAGAAGGCATTGGCGATGGTTTCTGTGCGTTTGAGAAAGCTTTGCAAGGGTTCATTTGCTGTACAGGGGTTTGTTACGAGGTCCAGGGCAGTCAAAGTTTTGTCGCGGCCTACGGTTTTCGTAGGCTTGCTTGTCCAGTATCCTAGGGGAACTTCAGGTTAACCTTTGGGATTATATATGTAGTACAGTATAATGAGGTTAAAGGCTACCTGCTCTACTACTAAGATACACCATGTACAGCTTTAGGATGTCACGTTTAGCCATAAAGGGCTCATCAGGTCCAGAGAAGGATGGCGTTCGATCTTTGGGGCGGCCGAGAGTAACTCTGGATCTGGATTTGCAAGGTTAGACAGGAGATCCAGCATATCGAAACCCAAGGGCCCTAGGGAATTCAGAGGCCTCTTCGTCTCTCTGCACTTGACGAAGTAAACTCAGCCCCTGCGCCCGACACCATCAGCCTTAATTCCTAAACCCTCATCCCGGCGACCCTAAACCCCACACTACACAGCTCACCGGTGAGTCAAAGCAGAATCCCCGTGATAGCCCTTATGGAACTTTCCAGAGGGCCCTATTAGAGTAACCTCATACGAATAGGAACCCTTGCAGGGGACCCGATTATAGAACCCTCGAGAAAGATGCCTTGAAGGAACCCTGACATGTGATGTAGAGGCCTTAATATTTGGAATAGAGTTCTGGGCTGCTTGTAGTACTATTATAGTTATAATAAGGAACCCTGACAGCGATAGTGGTACTTACTTACGCTTCTATATTGACCCCGGAAGGAAAGCTTCTCTCGCCGAGCTGCCAAAGCCTTCGTCAGATGGTTTCTGCTGCAGGTCAGCTCTTCGCTCAAGTCCTTTACAAGAGCACCGAATGGTGTAGAGGTTGGGTACTGCCCCCATGCAGTAACAGTCCATAATAGGGCTACTATTAAGGGCCTATTATATCCATAATATGAATATTATCCAACTGTTACTGAGTGGGGGCAGTACCCAATGTAGAGGGCGTATGGTTTAGGGCTTCGGGTTTAGGGTTAGGATTTCGGGGTTTCGGATTCCGGGTTTAGGGTTTAGGGTTTACGGCCCCAATCCACTGAGCAAGAGAGGCCCAACCCTTGAAGCCTAAACCCTAAACCCCAAATATCGGAGCCTAAATAACTAACTCTCACCCAAACCCTAAACCCTAACCCTTAACCCTAAACCCTTAACCCTAAACCCTAAACCCTAATGGGGCAAAAGAAGGCACCACCAAGCTGGGTCCTCCAGCACATGGCGAAAGCTCGCATCATCTGCCGTGCCAGCGGCGACGCCATCCGACGCCTCCATGATGCAAGTAATGCAGGGGCCCTAAATGATTACCCATACTATTTTTGGGGGGCTCCATGATATACTAGAATATACTATGTTATACGATAATGTATAATATACTAGAATAAACCTCTAGTGTAGGGGCCTAAATAATTACCCATACTATTGTTTTTTTTTTGGGGGGGGAGGGGTGGGGTCCTTAACATACTTATAGTATGATGGGCCCCCAAAGCCCTATTCTAATTATTGAGGCCCCTATATTGCGCATGAGGATTTAGGGGCCGTTTTGTGGTGGCAGGTTGCAAGGAATCCTGAGATCACGCGCATGAACTATAGACAGGATTGACACAGGGAGTCCGCTACCATCTGGGTGGTTGTCAAAATTATGGTCCCTTTTGGGGTCCCCTAAATAATAGTTGCCGTATTATAATAAGGACCCAAAAAGGGACCATAATTTTGACAACCACCCATCTGACTTCCATCGGGTGTACATTGTACAGCGTTCAGACCACCCTGATCACATGTCCTCAAATTCAGGTCAGTGCTCAGACCACTTACCAGATCAACCGGGGGTAGTGTGCATGTCGATGTGCCTGTCGAAGCGGCGGCCTTCATACGTGAACGTGAAGCACCATCCCAACCAGCTAGCAGTCAAGCAATCACAATTCCAACAACATCGTGCGTCAGCAAGTTCACCAATACCCTCATCATCATTATGACATGCCATACCATGACATGTCATTTCATAGCAGACCAGCACCGGTTAAATCAGCTCAGATCACATCAGGGCACAGCACGTCAGGTCGTCGTCCTCATCCTAATCCTCCTCATCATCATCATCATCACCATTGCCATTGTCGTCATTATCGCCGTCATCATACCTTCATCGAACACCCGCAGCATCGTCGCATCATCACCATATCATCACCACCCCTATCGTCACTACCGTCATCATCATCCTCGTCGTCGTGATCGTCTTCCTCATCATCGTCGTCGTCGTCAGCGAGTCATCAGTGTCCTCCGCTATCGCCTGGCACCTGCTCCCAGGATCCGGAGCTGCTGTTCAGGTGCTCTGAGAAGCTATCGAGTCTCTCGGAGAGCAAGTTGCAAGCAGCATCCGCGTCATCGAGCAGCTGCGATGCCTGGGATTGCAGGGCTTCTGCCACAGACAAGTAGCGGCTGTAGTAGATCGTCCGGGATGCGATGACAAGCTAGTTTTAACGCAAGCGCTCAGACTGACTCAATAGTACCGCAAGACTACATCAACATCCTGAACGACAGCCTCGGTGCAGCTTGCAGGTGCAAGTGGCCCCAGCGAATCCTCGCATGGACGCCACGAACGTATGCCCTGGTATCTCTCCACGCCAGAAAGCAGAGCCAGAGCAGGAAGAGGAGAACTCCACTGCGACACACAAAACAGTGGCGCCGCCTCCGACCCACCATGGCGGACAAGTCTCATAGGCGCTCTACGGGATTTTTTGAGGATGATGGGTGTTGCGGATGGTCGGTCGAGGGCTGAGTAGAACCTCCCACATCGTCGCAACTGGCTGAGGCAGAAAGGATAAGCTGCATGATTTAGGAGGCTTTGGGAGTTGGATATCAGCACATTCTGTACGGCTTTGAAGGCTCAGCTCCATTGCCGGATCGCCAGCTCCTTCTTCGCAACTCGCTCACATTAGAGTGCTGACACAGCTGCGCGACACATCGCACGAACGATGACCATGCTTTGAGCGAAGATAAACAGAACTAAAAAAGCCACCGCCCAAACCAACAAAACTGTATCCTCAGTAGCACACAGACTTAACCCCAAAGACCCTGAGCCCTAGCCCTAAACCCTAAACCCTCAACCCTAAACCCAAAGCCCTAGACCCTAAACCCTGAGCCCTAAACCCTAAACCCTAAACCCTAAGCCCTAAACCCCAAAGACCCTGAGCCGTAGCCCTTACCCTTCGAGGCTTGGTTGCCAGTTCGGCGGCATGAGCAGGCCAAGTCCCCGTCACCCAAGATATTACCCTTAGGGTTTCGGGTTTCGGGTTT